GGACGAAAAAGAGGAAGTGGAGAATGATGAGGAGGATGAGGATCCGCAGGAGGAGGAGCTCGAGCCAAATCGGGGCATGTGGGAAAGGCGTGGGGCGCAAAAGAGGAGCGAGGGCCCGTTCGGGAAATTTTTGGTGCTCGGAAAGCCCCTCGCGCGGTTTGGCGATCTTGCGGGCAGCCTACATACATGGAGGGCGCAACATAGAAGACCGCAAAGAAAGACGACGACAAATAATCTTACGCGCCGTGCCAGCGACGTTGAAGAAGCGTCGGCGGATCTCGGTGCAAGTCGCGGTGCACCTGGCGACGGACGCCCAGCAGCTGCTCCGGCGCCGCCGGATGAGCGCGCGAGGCCCGCGGTAGCGCCAGCAAATCCGAGGGGGAAGAAGTATCCCAAGGGCCGGCAAAAGGCCGGGCAGCGCGCCAGTGCTGCGCGCAGGCGGGGGCGCAACCCGGAGGTCTCAGACGATTGGTTGGCCGTGACCAGTAAAGACTTGGCAGCGGCCAAAGGCTGCCCAGTCGATAAGGAAACGAAGAGCTACACTGCTCGGAGGGAGACGCGGGGCATGCAGACATTCGTGCTACAATGTGGACAAGTGCTCAGCTTTTGCGAGCTCCTTCGTGGGGAATCGCTTCAGCTGGTGCACGCGATGCTGCTGCGCCTGGTCGGCAAGCTGACAGCTAGCGGACATCAGCCGCAAGCCATATTTTACGACAACGCGTGTAAATTGTTGTCGATGGCCAGGTCGAAACGCAATTGTTACCCGCCCCTCAGAGACGCTTGCAAGTCTGGCCATACTGTTGGACCAGCTACACCGGGCCAATCACCACTGGCGCCTCGCAAACCTGCCGGAAGTGGACTGCCGCCGGGAAGAAGCCAGGCGTTTCACAAAGGCGTGGACACGCAAGCGTGCGAACAATTTAACGACTTCGCGAACGAGCTGACATCTCCGGCGCGGGAAATGACTACAGGGCGCTACTGGGCATGGTGGTCGTCCATTTTTCGTTTGAAGAACAGTTGGGCACTGCGCCAACGAGGAGAAAACAGGCAGCGCTTTGCGCGAGGGTTTATGAAGCACGACCCGGATGTCCCGCGCCAGCGAGCCTAGAAGAAGGGAACGTTGCAGGCGCAGTGATGGGGATGATCTCATGATCGGCCACTTTGGCATCTAGCGCGCATCACAGTCGTTCCTAAGGTCGGCGTCGCGCTCTTGTGCATTCCAAGAGTTTGACGTGGCCTCGCTCCGTTTCACCACCTTGTTCACCTTGCGACCCCGCTTCGGTCGCGCAAAGGATCGGTCTGCACCGCAGGAAAATCGTGTTCTTATCTCCCCCCGCCCCCCTCGCCCCTCCCGCCCACGGTCGGGCGCCGACCCTCTGCGTAGCTGACTGCGCGGCCGACCCTTCGCGCGGACAAGTAACGCCAGTCGCCCCCAGGGTGCCCCCGCCCTCTACTCCTTAATATTGGGGGCCGCCGGCAATTTCAATGTTTCGGGGCTCTCTTGGGGTCTTCTCGGGGGCCTCAAGGCCGTTTTGGGCCACTCCTGGTGGTGCGTTGGAGCCGTCTCGGGGCCTCCGAAGCCCGTCGGTAACGAAAAAGCGAGAAGGCGCATGTTCGACAGGTTTTGGACGCGTTTTGGCTTTTTTTTCGGGGGCGCCCTTGGGGGGCTCCGTGGCCACTTGGAGCCGTATTGGGGTAGTTTTGGAGCCTCTTCGAGGCATGTTGGAGCCCACCTTGAGTCATCTTGATATATCTTGTGCGATATATGAGGCCATATTGGGATATTTGGGCCCGCCATGGTGCCACCTTGGGGCACTTTGAACCTTTGAACCCCTCGAGACTGCTCCTTTTCCAGACCCAGGGGAGGGGGCGTGGGGGATGTGTAAACCCTTCCACGAAGGGGGGCCGGGGGGTGGAAGAGCAAGCTCCCTAAGCCACATACGCCCTAAAGGGCTGGTGGGGGTCAGGAAGGGGATGGGAACAGGAGGGCCAGGGGGCAGGTGGGATTTTCACGGCGGCACCATTTCCAGGTGCACAGTCAATCCAGCTGCCCCGCTTTGTGCACCGCTGCCCGGCCAGCTTTCCACCCTGCGGGCATCTGTTCAGCGCCTTAGACGATTGGCGACACCTGATCACAATAGGACACGGGCACCGCTTAACGGCCCGTGCACCGGTAGGTCGCGATCCCCGCAAACGCGTTCGCATAACTTGTCGCCCGATGACATTCGCACGGTAGATTTTATGATGCCAGTGCCACGGCACCTCATTGTAAATTATTGACGCTTCGCGCATCCCCACCAGCCCATCCAGGAACGATGCCCAGGCGAATTTAGGTGATCAGGGAAGTGCGGGAGCATACATAATACCAAAGGGCTGGGGAAACCGCATTACCCAAGAGGGCGAGGAAGGAGGACGAATCGGACGAGGAGGAGGAGGAGGAGGAAGAAGTGGAGGAGGAGGAGAAGAAGGGGAAGGGAGAGGAGGGAGGAAGGAGGAGGAGGAATAGGAGGAAGAAGACGCGAGCAGAATGGCCAGCGGCTTCTTGGATGCCTCTCAGAGTCTCTTCGGGTGTCTCTTGGGAGCTTGTGGGAGGCCTCGCGGGGCGTCGTATGGGCCTTTTGGCGGTCCTGGGGGCCTCTTGCAGCGTCTGAGATGCCTCGGGGCGCCTCTCGGGGCCTCCTGGGGGCCAATTGGGGGCCTATTGCGACCCTCTTGGTGGCCTCTTGGGGCCTCCTGGGCGCCTCTTGGGGCCCTCTTGGGACATGTTTTGGAGCCCTGGGGGAGCTCTTGGGGCCATCTTCGAGGAGATCGATCAAAGGAGGGGGGGTCCGTCAACTCGCGCTGCCTATCGGGAGCCCCAAATATCGCCTTTTGGATCCCTCTTGGAGCGCTCTTGGGGCCGTCTTGGGGTTCTTTTCGGCCTCTCATGGGGCCCTCTTGGGCCATGTTGGAGCTTTGGAAGGCCATCGAAAGCAACAAGGCGAAAAAAAAAAAAAAAAAAAAAAAAAAAAAAAAAAAAAAAAAAATGTTGTTGGTTTGTGATGGAGTTTGGTTTTGGGGGGCCTTCTTGGGAGGTTCCGTGGCCACTTGGGGCCGTCATGCAGCGGTCTCGGGGCCTCGTGGGGCATCTTGGGAGCCATCTTGGGGCATCTTGGGCCATCTTGGGCCGTCTTGGGGGGTCACCTTGGGCTCTCCGAGGCTCTCTTGGGCATCTTGGGCCATATTGGACGCTCAAACTACCAGCGAAACGCCCGGCCCAGGGGAGGGGGTAGGGGGAGGGGTAAACTCCTCCCCGAAGGGGAAGAAGGGGAAGATGGAAGAGGACATCTCTAGACCACCTACGGGTCCGCCCGCCCGACACGCCCGTTAGGGTCCGCCCGCCCGACCCGAACCGATCCGCCCGACCCGATCCGTCAGTTAGGGGTATGCGCGTGCCAATTCGATGATGCATCATACTTTAGCGTTCCGCCCGCTATTTGGAACGCAACATCCAGCACTCCACAGCCCCCGTGCCCAACACGACACACCCAGTACTCGACAGCCTCCGTCTCCCGACCCCCCCGTTAGGGTCCGCCCGCCCGACCCGACCCGCCCGTTCGGGCACGCGCGTGCCAACCCGATGATGCATCATACTTGGCGTCGGCGCCGCCGTCGCCGCCGTCGGCGGCGTTCTCGTCGTCGTCGGCGCCGTCGTCGTCGTTGTCGTCGTCGTTGTCGTCGGCGTCGTTGGTGTCGTCGGCATCGTCGTCGTCGTCGTCCTCGGCGGCGCAGTCGTCGTGGTCGTGGTCGTCGTCGCCGCCGTCGTCGTCGCCGTCGTCGTCGTCGCCATCGATGTCGTCGTCGGCGGCGTCGTCGTCGTCCGCGTCGTCGAAGTCGTCCTCGTCCTCGTCGTCGTCGTCGTCGTCGTCGTCGTCGTCGTCGTCGGCGCATGGCTAGGGTTAGGGGCTGCGAGATAGGAGGCCATATTGGGATATTTGGGCCCGGATTCGGCGTGGGCTCCCGGCAGAGATCCATCACGCCGCTCGGATTCCGGATTCCAGAGTCCGGCTTCGGATTCCGGATTGGATTTCAGAATCCAGAATCCAGAATTCCGGATTCCGGAGCCCGGATTCACGCCGCTCGGATTCCAGATTCCGGATTCGGATTCTGGATTGGACCTCAGACTCCAGAAACCAGAATTCCGGATTCCGGATTCCGGATTCCGGATTCGGCGTGGGCTCCCGGCAGAGATCCATCACGCCACTCGGATTCCGGATGCCGGATTCCGGATTCCGGATTCGGATTCCGGATTGGACCTCAGAATCCCGAAACCAGAATTCCGGATTCCGGATTCCGGATTCGGCGTGGGCTCCCGGCAGAGATCCATCACGCCACTCGGATTCCGGATTCCGGATTCCGGATACGGATTCCGGATTGGACCTCAGAATCCAGAATCCAGAATTCCGGATTCCGGATTCCGGATTCCGGATTCCGGATTCGGCGTGGGCTCCCGGCAGAGATCCATCACGCCACTCGGATTCCAGATTCCGGATTCCGGATTCCGGGTTCGGATTCCGGATTGGACCTCAGAATCCAGAATCCAGAATTCCGGATTCCGGATTCCGGATTTTGGATTCCGGATTCGGCGTGGGCTCCCGGCTGAGATCCATCACGCCGCTCGGATTCCAGATTCCGGATTCCGGATTCCGGATTCGGATTCCGGATTGGACTTTTCCGGAAAGTTTCTTTGGATCACCTCTCCCATTTGTCGAGAGTCCAACAGAGGTTCATCATCATTATCAGTGTTCTCCTGAGCTTGCAGGATGAAGAAGAGGAGGGGAAGGAGGAGGAGGAGGAGGGAGTGGAGCGTAGGGATGAGGAGATGTCATCCGTCTTCGCCATTCCCCCCAACGGCTTGACCTCCCTCTTTCCTTCCCCCGCTCTCCTCTCTGCCTTTCCCCACCGTTTCTCCGACCTCCAACGTTCTCACACGTCCTCCTTTGGATGTGTCCTCCTGGCAGGACAGCACCACCGGCAGCACCACGGATGGCACGAGGGCCGCAGCAGCTGCGCGGCCGACGGCGGACAGGAACCGCATTCCTCCCCCTTCCGCCTGCGGCCCGAGTTCGGGCGGCAAGGCCGACCACCCGCCGCGCCGTGCCGTTACAGAAACAATTTGTTTCCCGAGGTGGTCTCGGGTTGGCGCTCTGGCCCTCTTGAGCTGGCTCGTTCTCGCAAGCCAGCGGTGGCGGAAATGGTCCCGACCAAATTGGACGCGCCACCCGCCGCATCTCCTAGCTTGTCGTCGTATGTGCAAGCAGGCGACTTTTTAGTCAGCGTGCACCTCCCGAGGAGGAGAAGACCTCTTCAGAATCCTGGCGACTCGGTTCCCTGCTTCAGGCGTCCGGCAGCCATTTCTGCCCCCTGGAGCTATCATCACCCGTGGTGGCAGAAAGGATGTCGGCGAAGGTGTCGAGAGTTTGGGGCTCATAAGTCACGGAAAGACCGTGACGTCGGAGGAGGGGAGACGTATTCCTTATTCGGGATGTGCGTTGTCATTGAATGTTTTTTTGCAGGGGTTTGCGATCAGCCTTGCCCAAGGAGGGAGGCGTAAAGAGATCATCCAACAACTATTTCAACAAAGCATGATTCGAGGCGTGAATGTGTGTACTGTTTTGCAGCGTCCCCCGTCTGCGGTGTTCATGTACTCCGCATTGCAATCCAGTCACACTGTAACGATGATGAGTCCTAACATCATGAATGATGAAAGTCGTATTGCCCAAAATCATCTCAGGAACTGGGTACCATGTGGCGCTGATTATTCGTGGCCGTATTTTGTGGTCATGGGTGGCGTTGATGTTGATGTTTCGCGGTTACAGGTTGCGGCCATAGGTTCCGCCACGGGTGGCGCAGATTCTGCGCGGCCAAGTACTAATATCACGAGTAGCAGCATGACCAATAACAATAACAGTAGTAGTTATAATAATAATGCCGACCAGCGCGAATTCGATTGACACAAATATCCAGTTGTTTGCGGCAAGTCCCGCCACCGTGGCGGCCAAGCATTTCGGGGATGAGAGACCAGTCCAGGGGAAAAGGTCGAAAGGTCCCAAGAGGCGTCCACGAGACTTCCGGCTTCACGCGCTGATGATGATCATCTCGCGAAGCAACGGAATTTCTATACGCTTCGCGTAACCCCACTAGCTCCGTAGCCCTCTGGCTCAAGCCGTGAATTGCACCAGGGCGGAATGTGACGGACTAGTGCAGGACCTCGGGATTCTACCACTGCCCGATGAGCAACCAAATGATGGTCCCCAGGACGAAGTCGGCCAGCGGGTACAAGCATCGATCTATACATCGGGCAGGATCCAAGATCGGCACGATGAGGGTCAACCAGTATCCGTTGGATCAGATCCCGTCGCTGGAGACGACGGCACACAGGGAAATTCTGCCTCTGGCAGACACCAGGCAAGCGGGAGCTGCGACCAGACCGGTGAGGGCACACCGATCAAGGATCAATTTGATCCCGTCAGACCGCGCCTTGCCGTTGGAGACGGTGGCTCACCGAAAGAAATTGTCTCCCATTCCTTTCCTGTTCATCCCAAGGCTACGACGGTTAGTCGCCTCCCTTCTCCTGATAACATGCCAATTGTGCTTGAACCCTATCTCCCAGCGAAGCAGCAGTTAGCTGCGCCCCCTGTCTCTCCCCCCCTGCCGCCTGGACTGCTGTCATCCTGGAAGCGACGATTAGTCGCCCCACCGATGAGGATTGCGCACAGTTAGGTCAGCAACCCCTTCAGCAACTCCACACCGACACTGCATGCGACCGCCCCGTGGAGGACCACGCGCCCCCCGATGCCTCCTCGACCCCTCCCCCCGAAGGACAGCCAGCCCACGAACAACCTACAAAGCAGACACCCGACAACCAGCCCTCTCCTCGAACTCCCGTTGGCTGCCCCTCTCCTCCTCCCTCCCCGGCTTTGACTCCCAATGAAGCCAGGCACTTCGCACAGGACGACAACGACACGCGACAGCCCGGTACACCTGACACCGACGCCCACGCCGTCACCCAGCCATCACCCTCTTGCGCCCCCACTGCCACTTTTGACCCGAACACTGCCCTCCTCGGGGCGCAGCTAGCCCTCAACTCTCTACAAAGCCTTCCACTCCCAGCCCCCAACTGAGCAGGAGGTCGCCACTGACATGCCAGTTGAACTGGAGCACGATTCGGATTTGGAAATGAGAAACGATGGAGCACCAACCGCGCAGCCACCGCTATCTACCCCCCAGGCACGTCGCCCTACCTTTGCCCCCCCACGCAGACATAATGCTGATGGAAGCAGCCATGCCGGACCCTCACGCCCTGCCTCCGACCCGGGAAGAAGCCGCGATAGCTCCTCCCTCTCCCCTGCCCCCCCTCTTCCACCGCACCGACCCACTCCATCATCGCACCAGATTTGAAGCAACCCACGACTGCCAACATAAATTGTCACCAGTACGTCAGCCACTGCAATACTGGCACAACCGCCCGAGAGTTGGCCCTCGCAGCGCAACCCCACGTGGACTCGATCGTCAGGATCTCCCCCAAGCGAGCAGACGAGGCCCACACGTCGAAGACTTGATACAAGGCACGCCCTTCCCACGAGGGGGCTGGCCCCAACACGCTGGCCAAACGCCTAGGTCTTTCGAAGCCAGGATGCGACTGCAACTACTGGCGCACCTCGCCTGGAAAAGTCATCCTGCGGGACACCCCATCCCGGCGCAAGCTAGCACATTAGCTGAATGTCGTCAACGCGAGCTTCTCACAGCCTGCGACACCTAGTGCGACCACTGCCCCAACATCCCCATGAGCATGGACCTCACTCACCTCGCGTGGATTCTAAACGAGGAAGACATTGAAGGAAGAATGGGTGGCGTCAGACCGCACCCAGCACAGCTACTCGCCATGCGTCTTGCCACTGCGCGCCACATCAGCAACAGCGAACAATGCCCACGCCTTGACAACGACGAAATTACTGACCTTGAGAAATGCGTCGCCCACAGAATACGCCAACATGTGCCGTGCATCGAAATACTGCGGCACCGGCAGCAGCGCTGCTGTTAATAAAGATCGAGGGGGCGTTCGAGTTGACCACCCCCTTCAAACGACCGCCCCCGGTCTCCTACTTAAGCCGCATCCCCATCAGAGCAGCGAGGAGGCACCGCCACCGGGCAAAGTGCTGCGGGCCACTGCGCAGCACCTCTGCTGTCGCGCCCGCGCCTGACAAGACAGGCGCGCCTCGCGACCGCGTCGACATCGCGCCCAGCGCGATCCAGCGCGAAAAGGTTAAAACCGCCCTGACGAACATGCACCACTCCAACGTACACCAGGACGATCTATGGGGACTACGCTCGCTGCGCTGCCCTACACGCTGGCTTTTGCGACAGACGACCACGGGGAGAAACGAAGTTCCAACGACACCGACAGGAACGCACTAAGCGGGCACTTTCTGCGCCTCCGAAGTCGTGCAACGCTCGGGGGCCAGTTGCTCGATCCCAACCAGTTTGGCGACCCGGTGAGCACGCCGGACGCGCTGGAACCGATCGCGGACGCTGAAGTAGACGAACACCCAGGCTCGGTGTGGCAGCGCACCAGCAACGCGCCCGCTGAGGACACCATCGAAGGGGTCATTGCAGCGCATGGCCTCACCGATGACCACACGCAGGCACCCCGCTCATCCGCCAAACATTTCGTCACGGCGGCACAAGGCCCACCCGGCGCAGGGAAAACACGTTTCGCCGCCTCACTAGCCAAGCTCTGGGCACATGTCGCGGGACACGGTGCCGTTGTTCTCGCCGTCGCTGGCCCCAGCGCAGCAGCAGACCAAACGGCCGCCGCTTTCGAAACCACACGCAGAGGGGGCCGCCTCGAATTTTTCCGCAATGCCCGAGCTGCGCGGCACGATTTGCAGAGGGCGAACGCATTGCACACCCTGGCGCTCACAAGTTGCCCGCCACCAGTCACTATCGACGCGCGTGGGACACCGAGCCAAACAGGTCCAACAGGAGTAAGAGCTGGCGGAAGTCCAAAGACGACCCCAGCAGCAAATGCAGCATTATCATCGCGACCCACGAAGGCTCTTGGAGGCTCGACCAGCCCAACGCACCCAAGGTGATCCTCGGCATCATCGACGAGGCGGGCCAGGTCAACAAGGTCTCTGCTGTCATCTCCATCGGCATCATGGTCGACTGTGGCGCCCGCATGGTCTTCGTGGGCAATCCCAAGCAGCCCCCGCCAACAGCGAAGTCCTGGCACGCAGAAGACTCGCGGCTACAAGCTTCCATTCTCGAGAAAATCCCAGACTCCCTGGGCGAGGACAGCCCTGCCACAATACTTCTCACAAAGTGCTTCATGTGCCACCCCGACGTCCTCGGCTTCTCCAGGTTCGCTTACTACGACAAGAAGATCGCGTCAGGCCTCGTCACACCACTGCAAGACCGCCCCATTGCCAACGGGCTTCCGCGGGTCACGCACCGTTCGCTGGACAACGAGCGACTGGAGTCTGTCGCCAAAAAGCAAGGGAAAGGCGTGGACGAATTTAGGGGCGAGATCAGCGACCTACACAACGAGGGGGCGATGCCTGGAGACGTTCACCGCGTGCTCATCGTCGACAATCCACATGCGGACATCACCTCCAATGCCAAGAGCGGCTACGCCAACCGCGCCTTGAAGTAGTTCGCGCGCTTGGCCCCGCCATGCTTGACTCTGGACTGACCGTCAAAGTGATCGCCCCCAGCGCTGCACAGCGGACCGCACTGCGCGGCGGGCGGCCACAGGGCAAGAGTGGCTTCTGGCAGAACGCCGCGCTGGCTGAATCGAAGCAGGGTGAGAGGGGGAAAAAAGAGAAAAAAAAATCCGGCTTCAATGCCAAATCCACCGGGTCAGTCATCCACCCCTTCCTCCCAATTGTATTCCCAACCACGCGCGGTTAGCGCGCGCGCCCGCTCTGCTCCCCCTGCCCGCGCCTCCGGCCTGGGCGCTGACTGCCCACTCGATGGCCCCCCCGACAGGCGACAACGGGTTGGCACTTTCGTTCAAGGGGTTGGCCG